ACTCTACCCTTAGGTAATGTTGGTACTCTGCCATTCGGTAATATTCCCTTGGGTAATCTTCCCTTGGATAATGTTCCAGTAGGTATTCTGCCCTTGGGTGAAATTAATACAGATACCAAATCAAGGTTCTGTTTTGGAAGGGCGTGGATTCAAGTCCATGGTCAATGACTCTTAGTGATGTAAAACTGGATTTTTCTTTTGAAAATTCGATATACTAGTTGTAAACTTCATGGGTTTCAGTCAGCCCATCCCTTTGGCAAGGGAATAAATTTTACGAGCTTTACTTAGCTCGTCACTCCTATAATAAGGGAACGAGCTTCACTCAGCTCGTCCTTTTAGTAAGAGAATTAAATTTTACGAGCTTCCCTCAGCTCGTCCCTTTAGTAAGGGAATTAGGTTTTACGAGCTTCACTCAGCTCGTCCCTTTAGTAATGGAATTAGATTTTTGTCAAGCGTCAGGAATGCCAAGTCCTACTGGGCTAAGCATGCTTGATGATTACTTTCTTACCCCTTTTAATAAGGGAAGTAGACTTGCTCGAGTGTTGTGAGCTCACCCTTTAATAAAGGAGTAGTAAACCCTCCGTCTCTTTACCGAGGGAAGAAGATAGAGTTGACCCTTCGTTCCTTTATGGGGGAAAGAGGTGTAATCTGAAGGATGGTGACCCATTTAATACGAGAGGTAGTCGTCTCGTCTCTCTAGTAAATGAAGAAAGCTTTAATTATCTCACCCTTCTGTGTAGAAGAAGTAATCGGTTTCTTGTCATGTGTTGTTGGCCCTTGGTTCCTTTAATGAGAAAAATAGATCACTATGAGCTTAATATTACCACATAGGTAGGTAACTAAAAATATAATATTTTATTGCGTAAAAATTGAGGGTCATCCATCTCAATGGTGATGGTGACCTTATTAGAAAATAAAATAACACATGAAATGATGAACTAAGATGCCCCCAGTCTTTAATTTGAATGACTTGATAAGGCTAATTCTAGCTGTGAGACAATTGTTAGTCGGTATACTTATCTGAGTCCTCCTCACTATATGTCATATCGCTTTGGCTGAAGAATGATTTCTTATAGCTGGTATCCTTTTCATCCCTGGTGAGAGGGGCTGACCTCTTCTTGTCATCTCCTTCCTTTCCCTTTCGTGCACTCATGACATCTTCAGCGTTCATGTGTTTCTACGCTCTGATCAACAACTCTGCCATGCTGGTGAGAGGTTCGTTGGAAAAGACGAACAAGAATCTGGAGGTTTGGAGTCCTCCTATGAAAGCGGTCAAAGCCACCTTGTCGTCCACCTCTTATGCCTGCAACATATCTGTATTGAATCGGGTGATGTATTCCCTAATCGACTCGCTCTTCTGTTGCTTCACGGTCAGCAGGTAGGTGGCCGACCTCCTATGCCTCTGACCTACAATGTAGTGGCTCACAAACTGCTTACTCAGTTCTTCGAAGGTGTTGATGGTTCCTGACTTCAGCTTGTTGAACCAAACTCTTGTCGATCCCTTAAGTGCAGTGGGAAAAGCTCGGCACATGATTGCATCTGGCACGGTGTGCAAATGCCTAAGAGCTTGAAAGGTCTCCAGGTGATCGAGGGGATCTTTGGTCCCATCAAAGCTTTCGAACGAGGGCATCCTGAACTTGCTAGGTAGGGGGCATTTCATAACGGCAGGGCTGAATGGCAGGTTGGTCCTCTGCACTAGGTCATCTATGGTGGCAGGACCTTTCCCTTTCATAGCCTGCATTACATCTTTCATTTTCGTCTTGAGATCCTCGATCTGTAAGTCGAAATAGGTAACTTTCTATGTCTTTTCCTTAACACAGAAGGTTGTGCTTGTTTGAGACTGGGGATTTCGCGAAGATCGGGAAGGAGGTTCTCTGTGTCGGTTTTTGACTTGGCTTTGTTCTGCCTTGATCTTGTGAGAATGATTGTTTTCTCGGTCCTTCTCGTGTTGTCCCCAATCAGTCAAATTGGGAGGACATGGGTTGGACAATTCTTGTTGAGGTGGTGGTCCCGCTGGGATAAGATGTCACATGATCTCTGCATTTTGTTGGATCAACTGGTCCATACTCTGACGTAAAGTTTGGACCTGTAGTTCTAACGCTGCAAACCATTCCTGGTCATTCGGGACGTCTGGGTGCTCACCCGATCTTCTCTTTGACTGAATCCCTGCAACGATATTTCTGTTCCAGTTACCATACTAGACCGCAAGTGCATATACCCAACCGAGTAATTGATTTAAGGGAATCGTCGTTTCCCATAGACGGTGCCAACTGTTTAGGGTGAAATCCACGCGGTCCGATTCAGCACCGTTTTCCTGCAAAGAAGAGAGTAGAAGATCGATGAATCTTGATGGCACCGGTGTGGTGCCTGCAAGAGCTCTCCGACGATCAAGTCAGTCACCGGAGGTCTAAAAGAAAGGCAGGAATTTAATAATAGTTTTTTATCGTACCTTATTCCCGAGTCGTCTTCCTATTTATTGTCACTTCCCTTATTCTTGATAAGGGAATATCATAATTCTTATCCCATGGAAATCTTATCCTTGATAAAATTTATCATTATCCCATGGAACTTATTCAATGGAAATCGTTATCCTTGATAACGAAATATTATCTTTCGAAAGTGGAAGAGATCTGGCGGCTGGTTAACACTTAATTGCCTCTATCGTTAGGTCGTAATAGGTTATGTTTATTTTTCCTTATCAAGTAGAAAAGAATAAACTGAAATCTCAAAAAATTCAAATCCTTATTCTACAAATTCTCAAAGTTAAAAAAATAAAATAAAAATGTTTAGAGAGATATATAGAGAAAAAAGTTAAAATATAAGGTAATGTGGACATAATACCCCTATACTATGAGATTAATAACATATATACCTATCCCCTTGGGTATTTTCGGAAGAGTAAAAGAGCAAAACGGGTATTACAATACTAATTTATGTCAGAGGAGTAGTTTTGCACAATGTGAAAAGATTAGGGTTATTTTTTGCACACTTTTTCAATTAGGGAATAAAATTACTACGCATAATATACTTTAAGAGTATTTTCTGCACTTATCCCTCACTAATTATATATGAACTTGTGAAATAAGCATCTTCTTGTGATTGCTATAATGTGAGTGTTCAAATGACTGGAGGACACGTGAGTTCTTTCATTAATTGTTTTACTTTACATTTGTTATTATGTTGAATCTGGTTGCGTGTGACAGTATTTTATGATGAACTTCATGTTTGTAGCTAACTTTTGCACTAAAACTACGTAATTTTGGTGCACAGAGCAGAGTTCAAAACAATTTGTAAAAGTTCCGACTTCCAACATAGAGATTATGCATGTGCATCAAAATTACGTTATTTGGTAAGAGAATTCACTTTCATAACTGAGCTTGCCAATGTAGAGTGTTTAAAAAGTGACATAGGTGCAAATCTAACACTAGTACTATTCCATACAATGGGAAATTCTAAAGCCGTCAAAATTCGGCAATGGAGATAGTTGTGAGCCCATTACATTCTCACCTGTTTTTTTTTCTCCATCAATTGTAGCATAACTCTTATTCAAAAAACTTGTGATATAGGGCCAAATAATTTAACCTAAAATATTTTAGCCGTCCACGAGAATCTCTACCTGTTGCATCACACAGCTGAGATGTTTGGGCTAACATTTCAGCTAGACTGCTGGACTCAGGCTAGGATCTATGATGGGCTCGGTGGGCAATTGTTCCCGCTGAATTTTTTTTTTTTTAATATTTTACCCACTAATTTTGCTTTTTCAAATTATATACTTGCAAAATTTTGAGTTTGACAAAATTGAGTTTAGTGTGCCATGGCCCATGGGCTAGTAATATCAGTTGGTGGGTTTATCCAGACAGTGGATTGTCTGGATTGACCAACACGTGAGATTCATGAACAAAATTCGGACCCAAGTTAAAGTCCTTCGTGTACCCAACCGCAGGAATTGGCGTCCATAGACTCTAACCCAGTACTCCAAATTAGGATGTCCGACATGTTATGTGTAAAATAAAAAAATAAAAAAAAAGTTAGAACTTGGAAAATAAATGAAAGAGTATTGCTACTCATAAACAAAATTTTAAAGGGACCAAACAACATAAAAGTGATGAAAAGATAAATTCATATGGATTTCTCATGACATTTTCTTTCTATTTCATTAATTAGCTAATTTTTTGATTTTAATTTTTTTTTTTTTTTTCTCCTTTGTGTACATAAAGATAATCATAAAAAAAATATCAATTTATAGCATTATGAAATAGTTAAACAAGCCTAAAGCAATGTCAAAGTGACTTGACTAGGAATTTTATTGAATTCATCCATCCAGGAAATTAGAATTGAAAGTGCAATTTGGATTGAGCAAGACAAATCGAATCAACTCATCGTGAATTTTGCATGGGTTTTTTTTTATTTCATTTTAGTAAAAAAAAAAAAAAAATTATAAATTCTTTTAAGCACATCCAAAACCAGTCTAATTCCAAGTACTTCAGCCTATTATTTTCCTTTCTCTTAACCCAATCGATATTCATTTGAAACACAAATAATCTTCATTAAAAACTTGAGTTGAAGATTCATATATATATATATATGTGTGTGTGTAAATATATTATATTATTTCCCAATGACCACATGCAAGATGCATCTGACCTCTTTTCATTGTGATTTTACTAATAAAAAAAGAAAATAGAAGGAAACGGTAAATTTGATTATTAGTATTTTGTCAAATTGATAATTAAAAAAAAACTTATGTCACATTAATAACAATATAATTTATAACTACGTTCGTCTTTATTCATATAAATCAATTTAAATTGTCCAATTTTCAAACATTACCCTTAAAAAAAAAAAAAAAACATCTCGGATACAAGGTTCTATGTTTCTAAATTAAATCTTGACAATAGTAATAAATAGTACTACATTAATAGTAGCAAGTAAATCGTATCCGATAGGTCATCATTTGTACTACGAGGAAGTTTCTTTTCTTAGACCCAACTTGCAAGTGACCAAGACATCAAAAAGGTCCGATGATATATTTCCCCTAAGCGCAGTGCTCACTCGACACCAACTCATCCAGCGCTTTTTAGCGCAAAACCCTCCCCCTCCACCTCCTCCTCCTCCTCCTCCTCCTCCTCTCTGCAACTCGTCTGAGTGTAGAGAGAGAGACAACTAGAGAGAGAAACCAGACAGATATGGAAAGTTCCTTCCTCTCTCCACCAGCGAAGCGTTCAATCCACACCGCCACAGGAATGCTCGAATCCAACAACAATTCCTACACCACCTCCAACGGTGCGTCCTCCAAACGCTCCAAACCGCCTCCACCCCTCGCGGTCCCAGCCGGCCACGTCGCGTTCCGCCTCCTCTGTCACGCCTCCCGCATCGGCGGCGTCATAGGCAAGTCCGGCACCATCATCAAGCAGTTACAGCAGGACACGGCGGCGAAGATCCGAGTTGAAGAGCCATCATCCGGTTCCGACGACAGAGTCATTATCATCGTTGCTTCGAACTCACTCAACAAGAAAATTACGTTGAAGGATCCAGAGGAAGATGAAAGAGGCAGTGATGAAGAATTTGAGGTTTCCGCGGCGCAGGAAGCGCTAATTAGGGTTTTTGAGAGGATTCTTGATGTTGCAGCAGAGACCGACGGAGTATCCGTATCGCCTGGGGGTGTAGTATCGTGTAGATTGTTAGCGGAGGCGACTCAGGCCGGGTCAGTGATTGGAAAAGGAGGGAAGGTAATTGAGAAGATTAGGAAAGATAATGGCTGTAAAATTAAGGTTTTGAGTTCAGAGAAGTCGCCGGCTTGCGCTTTGCCGGGCGAGGAAATGGTAGAGGTATGGAATCCTTTACAACATTGAGTTTAATTTTACTCTAATTTTCTATGCAATGCATCATATAATGCGAGCATTACAGTAGCCTTGGCACATTTTTGGGTTGAACATTTTAGTGGGTAGTGACCTTTATTTTTTTAAGTGTATATCTAATGGATCCTTACTATCAATAGAACATCAAATCTTGCAAAATAAGTGATTTGTATTTGAACTGTTCAAGTCATTGTTTTGTAAAATCTTGCCGTCTATTTGGATTGAGGGGTTAGGAGGTTGGGGAAAAAAAGTGTGGGAGGGCAACTGATACCCTGTTTAGATATGAGGAGTCAAAAGGTAGGGAAACAGTGGGATGGCCGCATTATGCAAAATGCACTGGGGGAAAATGGAGATGGCGGAATTTTCAAGGGGCACAATTTCTTGATTGAAGAGTCATTTTTTGGTGCCCCATTTGGCAGCTTTTAGTTAGAGATTTTACTTCCTCTAATTAATATTAGATTAGTATAAGCGCTAACACCTGACCTATTTGAAAAATTTTCCGTTTCTATTTGGTCATGCTGCTATTATGAACATGGAGTCATTAGAGGCAGCAAGATGTGTGGTATAGGTCGTCCTATTTTCTCTCCCTTAGAGTGCTTTATGAATTTCTAACCGGGAATGTTGATATGGCTTATTTAGTGTCATATCACAATTCATTCATTCTTGGGCATAGTTGCTCACAAATTGTGGCATGGGACATCTGTCTGTGGCAGGAGCCTTACATTGAACAAGAGGTCATACTAATTGTGTTCATCAATTCATTGTGATCTGATCCAAACAGATATTGTTCAATAAATTGATCAATTGTTGTATACCCAACAGAGTGTTCTTATGAGTTAAACCTCCCTTTTTCTTTCCTTTTAATGGGGTAAAAAAACAAGAAAATAGGCGACTGCCCATTTATTTTATTTATACATTACCCTTCAGCTCATATCTGATAAGATTTAATATATATTTTTTCTTTTATTATGTCTCTTATATCTTCCCCAAAAAAGAAGGGCAACTATTACTTTAATATCTTTTATTTTTTCCCTTCTTCTTTCCTAGCTAATGCTATTGTTCTCTTCTGTTTCTGTCCTGATTTATCTGCCAACGAATGCTGTGCCCGTATTCTATAGGCTGGTATTCTTGGACCACAAACTTATCAATCACATAAATCACTTGAGTAAAACCCTCTATGGTGTCTCTAACTTTTTTCAATTAGTAGAACAGGGCTGGCTTGATGCAATTTGAAACCTAAAGTGAAATCGCTAAATTATGCCTTCTCACATTGATTATATTAATATAGTTCTAGTTATTTTTATTTAAAAATTATTTTCTTTACTTAAGTTGGAATAAGCCCAAGGAAATATAAAAACACTATTTACGTTTTTTAACTTAATAGATAGTGATTTAATTGTGTTGGAAAGCTAAGTGAAAGAGAGTCAATAAATTACAAAGTACAAAATTTTGAACAAGTATTGATATGCAGGAGAGTTAAAAAATCAGAAGAATTATTGAGGGAAAAAAATGAGGTAATTATAAGATAAAACTAAATAAAATTGTACTGACAATAGAAGAGCATTTGTATTTATTTGGTAATTAATACAATACACTAAGCATAAATAATTCATTAATATATATATATATATATATATATATATATATAACTAATATAAAAGAAACTTGTATTGATCAATAGAAGAGCAGTTGTATTTATTTGGTAATTAATATAATACACGAACCATAATTAAATCTTTAAAAGAAATATATTACAAATATAATGAGATATGGGGCCTGTTCTCCTATTGGGGGCCTTACATGACCGCCGTAATTGCCTTATGGATGAGCTGCCCCTGACAACGCACTTAAAAAAAAAAAAAAACCTTATATAATGTGATATGGGGCCTCTTCTCCTATTGGGGGCCTTAAGCAATCGCCTTAATTGCCTTATGATTAAGCTACCCCTGTAGTAGAATTATTAGGCATTAATTTTTTCTTTAATTATAATTAGACAAAATTCCTCCATCTGTCACCAACCACATGCATGCGCACAATTACATACCCAAAAAATGAAGAAAAGAGAGAGAGAGAGATAAATGACAGTATTAAGCTCTGTGTTGGTAGTTGGTACTCTCATAAATCTGAATGAAGTGAACTATTTCATTCAATTTTATGTTTGTGTTTGATGCTATTCCATTTGAAAGAATTTCACCCTCGTTCATTTATAAAAGATTTGGTCAACATTGTGGCAGATTGAGGGTGATGTTCTGGCCGTTAAGAAAGCACTTGTTGCTGTTTCCCGCCGACTTCAAGATTGTCCATCATCTGACAAAACAAAGATGACTGGAAGCAGACCACCTGAGGCAATTCCAAATGAGACCTTACCTGTCTCACGTGTGGATCGTCCGCCATCGCGTAGTTCAATGCTACAACCTATGCCAACCAGCTCTCTGAATTATGCCTCTGGAGGTCGTCCATTGCCAATAGAGGCTGACAGGATTCCCTACCCGGACACAAGGATGCAACAGCAAGAAGTGATTTTTAAGCTTCTCTGTTCCAATGACAGGGTAGGGGGTGTTATTGGCAAGGGAGGAACAATCGTCAAGGCTCTTCAGAATGAAACAGGTGCTTCTATAAGTGTTGGAGGTACTGTAGCAGATTCTGATGAACGATTAATTACTGTTTCTGCAATGGAGGTTTGCTGCACTGCTTTCATTTTCATCAGTTTTTTATTGTGTTTAATTATAGAATATACAAGTTTGTAATTTTTTTTTACTTGTTCTTTTTCTTGCTTAGAATTCTGAATCACAGTACTCGCCAGCGCAAAATGCAGTTATTCTTGTTTTTAATAGATCTATAGAGGCTGGCATCGAAAAGGGGCTGGATTCAGGCTCAAATAATGGGTCACCTGTTTCTGCACGGCTTGTAGTCCCATCAAACCAAGTTGGTAGCTTGTTGGGTAAAGGAGGCACAATAATTTCAGAGATGAGGAAGATAACTGGTGCTGGCATACGAATAATTGGGGGAAACCAAGTGCCAAAGTGTGCTCCAGAAAATGTTGAAGTAGTGCAGGTGTGTAGCTTAGTGTTTGGCTACTATAATAGTAAGTTTTAAAAGATTATGGCCTCTTCTTTTTCCATTTCATGGTTGGAACTTTCCAGTGTTTTGGAAATAATGATGCAAATCTTGTAAAATTATCGACTTATCCCTTTTGCTAAAACATCTCAATACATATAACAACAATGACAACAACAATAATGTTCTTTTCATCATTACTGTTATCATCATCTTCTGGATTGTATTACATTTTTATTTATTATTGCACATATTTTTATGTAATATCTACATATATGCCCTACCTAAGGTCCAATCTACTGTCAGTTGTTAGATTTAAGATGTCTTCACAGAATTTTTCTGAGACCAGCACGGTAGGCTTCCATCAGTCGCCAAGGCTGCCATTTGCTTTTCTTTTAGACTCGCAAACCTAATTTTGTGCTTTCCAGTCTTGCCTTTATTTATTTATTATTATTTATTATTATTTTTATAATATCCTCATGCCTAATATTAGCTCTCTCTTTTATTAAGACCTTAAATTCAAAGAAGTTCTGACCTATTATTTTGTTACAAAATTTTCCTTACTGGTACTAATATTGGGTGAATAATTGTTAATATTTTTCTTTTGTTACGGAATGTGGATGCAATTAATTTAAGTTATATCTGACTCCAATTCATGATGATAAAGTTGTGTCTATTTCTGAAAATTGGGATACTTAGATGTGACATTCTCTCTGTTCATTTTATCTAGGACTTAAAAGAGCTTTGCACAGGCAGAATTGTGCTTTGTAGACATGTTAGATTTGGGATTCATTTGGCTAAGTAGAGATTTGTGAAGCTTAAGACGAGCTTAACTCGTTTGAAGATTGACTGTCAATGGCTTAAAATTGAGTTAGGTGACAATTTTAAGAAGCCAAATATAGGAAAAGGATGGGGAGAATTGTTGACATATATACTTGGGAAGAAGTTCAAAATTTCATAAAAAAATAAACTACAGTTCAATTCAATAAAACTTCCTAGAAAGATGCTTACACTTGAGGCAGAGAAACTTCATCACAGGGAACTTAAAGTGTCATGGAAAGAAAGATATTAGGAGTTATAAGATCATACTTGGTTAAGGTTATAGACAAAGTAACAAGGAAAGAGATTAAATCTTAAATCTTGTTACAGTTTTTGATTTTGTAACAGGAAACACTTTAAGATAGATGAATAGTTAGTATTTTGAAAGTGGATAAAGCAAAGATAGAGCCTGATTGAATAGGAATTTCTAGGTGTATGCATTAAGAGATTGAAGAGGGAGAGGTGGCTTGTAAAAAAAAAAAAAGATGGAGAGGTGAAAATAGTTAGGTGTTATAGAACTGACTAGTAGATTTTAAAGGGACAGCATTATCAAAGATAATTTAAATGATATATTTATAGAGGATTCTATTGTCATTTGGAAATGAGACGATTGATTGTGAAGATGAATGTAATTTAATAAGTTATACTGCAAGTCTAGAATTTAAATTAGGTCACCTGAATCAGGTTTGAAGGTGGTGGCTACTTCTATAAATTATTAGAAGTAGCCATGTATAGAAATTAATTTTGGAAGACTCAATAATGTGAAACTATATTAGGGATGACAATGCATGTGAAGCCCCTATCTTGATCCCACATCATCAGAGAAGAACTTTTCCTTGTTCTATTTCGTGCATGCAGTGAATTGTCGTTCCCTATCCCATTCAGGTTGCAATTGAACAGATCGAGCAAGTTCGAGTTGACGTAGCATGAAACCTATTACTATTAGAGTCTAAATTGACACCTATGAATAAAATCTCCTTGTGTTTCAGGATCCCATAGTAACAACAAAACGATGTGCTAAACTATTAGCAGGAATGCGGCAGTTAAGAAATTACAGCCTTCCAAACAGGAACTGGCCAATCCATGTGTATACCATGGAGTTACAAAATTTGTTCATATGTTACTCATCCCACATATGCGTTGCTTGTGCCAGTTATGACGGGACATCAACTTGAGGCCCTTGACTGGAAGAAAATGACATGAGCAACTTTATTTATTGAATTTTCATCTATCCATTAATATATTTTGGAGATGGTTGAATGTTTTCATATCTCATTACTACTATTGTCTTCTTCTTATTATTCTACATTATTCCCCATATCCAAATATATATATATATAATTTATTTTTTTTACTTATTTTGAATAGCATGTTTTTGGATGCAGCAGGTAGTTCTTATTTATCAAAAAAAAAAAAATATGGATGCCAGGTAGTCAATTATATTCTAAAAAGAAATGGTTTTTTGCTTGACAGATTACAGGCGAGTTTGTAAATGTACAAGATGCATTGTACAATGTTACTGGTAGACTGCGAGATAACTTCTTCCCCAGTAAAATATCAAATGGTTCTGGAATTAGGAGCAGTTCCTCTGCAATTACTGAGGTCAGTCCCTATGGAAGATCAAGGGATCCTTCTTCTCTTGGACTGCATTCTGTCGGGGTCTCTCATAATATCAATCGGCATCCTACTTTAACACAGAGTATGGATCATCTCGGACTTTCCCAGAATTTTGATCATCCTCCATTGCCAAGGTCATGGGCATCGGAGGTAATAGGCTTTCTTTTTCTTTCATTTCTTTGTTTTTGGTATCTAAATCCTAATTAAAATTTCACATTTGATGATGGGTGGCCTTGATTGCAGACTGTAACTGGAGTAAATCCAAGGAGCATCATGGATGTTGGCAGAGGATTGACTTCTTTTAAAGGTGGCGTTGAACTTGGCAGGTTTGTGTCGACACAACTTTCTAGAAACCCTATATGTAGTAGTACACATGTTGTGAACATTTGACCATGAATGTTGCTGTAAATGGATTCCAAGAAAGATTTTGCCTTGCAAAGAGAAGATGACCAAAAGATAATTTTTTATTTATATTTATTTTTTATTTTTATCACTGGCAAGAATCAAACTCCTAATCCCACTCCTTCCTTTTACATCCATTGCGCGAGCAGTAAACTGTGCTATAGCAGCTTTGCCAAGGATGACCAGAAGGTAATGGATCAATAAATCATCATTTTGTACTGAATGATGGACACTTTTATGCTACGTTTGGTGTGAAGGAATGAAATGGAATGGAATGTCCATTCCAACCATTTTTTTGTTTGGTATGCAATTTAAAGTAGGAATGATCATTCAATTGAAATGAAAATTCATTCTTGTGAATGAAAATCCATTCCACAGCTAAACCTATGGAATGGCTATTCCATTCCCAAGTAATTTTTTTTTAAAAAAAAATCAACTTCTCAGAAAACCCTCATGTTCCAAATTGAAAAACCACCATTACTTTCCACCACAACCACATCCACCTTTCACCACCATAATCACTACCACCGCCTTCCACCACCACCACCGCCACCGACTTTCACCATCGCCCACCACTTTCCACCACCACCACCGACTTGCACCTTCGCTCACCACTTTCCACCGCCGCCACCTTTCACCACCGCTACCACCACCGTTTACCGCAACCACTACCACCGCCTTTCACCACCTTCCACCGCTACCACCACTGCCATTGCCTTTCAACACCTTCCACCACCATTCCCGCCATCGCCTTTCTCCACCGCCACCGCCTTTCTCCACCGCCACCGCCACCGCCACCGCCACCGCCACCACCTTTCACCGCCACCGCCACCTTCCGCCACCGCCACCGCCACCGCCACCGCCACCGCCATCGCCTTCCATCACCACCGCCTTCCACCGCCACCACCTTCCATCACTACCACCGGAACCTTCCACCTCCGCCAGCACCTTCCAGGTTTCCAGCACCACCAGCGCCACTGCCGCCACCACCTTTCACCAGCGCCACTGCCTTCCACCATCGCCTTCCAGCACCACCATCGCCACCATTATCACGGCCGCCACCGTCTTCCACAATCGCCACCTCCACTGCCTTCCACCACCACCATAGTCGCACCACTATCTCCTTCCACCACAACTACCACATTACTGCCATCGCCTTCTACCAACACTATTGCCACCGTCCACCACCATCGTTGCCGCTACCATCCCCACCTTCCAACACCACCACCTACACCATTACCGCTTTTCACCATCCACCACCGCAACTACCACCATTTATTTTTAAAAAATTATTAGAGAATGTCATTTTGTTAATTTAATTTATTTGTTACTAAGAGGGATATTTTGGAGAATTCAATTAGAAATTTATTCTATTCTAATTTTTAAATTGGTCCAACCAAACACTAGAATGGTTATTATTATTTCATTCCTATACATTTCATATTTACAACCAAGTTTTTCCCATTTGCATTCCATTCCATTCCTGCACACCAAACGTCGCATTAAAGGAAGCTTTCAAACATTATGATGACTATTTGGTACTGACGATGCCCCACGTGGAGTTTTTATTTATTTAGTGGTGAATCTATGACTAATCTCTGTTACATCTTTTGTCGTGAACTTCCTGCTTTTGGATTTAAACTTGGATTCTACTCATGCAAGTTTTTCCCACACATATCAAATAAGAACAGAAATACTGTACAATTATTTTCACTTAATTTCCCATCGGTCTCTAAAAGAGCAATCATTTTCATTGGTTTGGGAAATAACTCTCTTGAATTTCTTAGTGTTTTAGCGTTTCTTGCTAGGTCTGTTTCTTATGAAACTCCTCGGACTTTGTGGTGTTCTGCTGAACTACAACACATTCTTAAAAATTTTAGCCATAATATTTAGCTTTAGTTAAGGATAAAAATTTATTGGCAGTGTATAAATTCATTTCTTTCTATTGGTGGAATCATATTGGCCAAGAAAGTTACTTCGAGGGAGGATAAAAGTTTTGGAAAAAGTTAAGGGAAACCTTTGATCAACCATTATTCATTAATGAGTAACTTTTTCTCCAAAAAAAAATGGGGGGAAAAAAAAAGAAGAGAAACTTAGGGGACACATTTTGAATATATTTCAGAAACTATTAAAGAATTTGGGGAACTTTCTGATAATGCTTGAGAAATGGCAGGAATATTGATTGCGATGAATATCCCATGAATTTCACCTTTCTATCTGAAGGAGTTTTTATGGTAATGATTAATAAACCTTCTTTGATTGTTCCTTAAAAGTTTACATTTTTCTCGGTCGATTTTAGTGTTCAATAAATGTTTTATCAAGCTCTCCACCAAGTGTCACTAGGAGTTTCTAATGTTTTATCAAGTTCGAGGGGATTGAGACAGGGGGATCCGCTCTCCCCTTTCTTGTTCCTTTTCGTCATGGAGGCCCTCGGTAGATTGATGTGTCAGGCAATTGAGCTGGGTTTTTTGAGTGGTTTTCGGGTGGGAAGGGATGTTGCTTCCCAGTTGGAGATTTCCCATTTGATGTTTGCAGATGACACGTTAGTTCTGTGTGATGCGAATGTGTCCCAACTTCGCTATTTGCGGTGTGTTCTGATTTGGTTTCAAGTTGTGTCCGGCCTCAAAGTGAATGTTGGCAAGAGCGTTCTGGTGCCGGTGGGGGAGGTTCCAGAGATTGAGACTTTTGCTGATATTCTGGGTTGTCGTACTGGTTCTTTTCCCATCTCTTACTTAGGATTGCCTCTGGGAGCTCCTTCGAGGTGTGTGGGAGTTTGGGATCCAGTGGTGGATAGATTTGAGAGGAGGTTGGCTGGTTGGAAGAAGCAGTTTCTTTCCAAGGGAGGTCGGGTCACTTTGATTAAGAGCACTCTTTCATGTCTTCCCACTTACTTTATCTCCCTTTTTCAGATTCCCTCTTCGGTGGCGGAGAGGATTGAGAAATTACAGCGTAATTTGCTGTGGGGGGCAGAGGGGAAGAGTTTAAGTTCCATTTGGTTCGATGGAAGAATGTTTGCAGACCCATTCGGAATGGAGGTTTGGGCCTCAGAAGATTGGTGCCTTTTAATAAGGCTCTTTTTAGGAAATGGTTGTGGAGGTTTGGAGTGAAGAGACACTGGCTTTGGAGGACGGTTGTGGCGAGTCGGTTTGGGGAGAGTAGAGGAGGGTGGTGTTCCCTTGAGGTGCGTGGGCCTAGAGGTGTGGGGGTTTGGAAGGTCATTCGGAAGGGGTGGGATGATTTTGTTAAGCATATCCGCTTTCGTCTCAGGGATGGCAGAAGAATTAGTTTTTGGGAGGATGTTTGGTGTGGTGATGTTCCTCTTACTCTCGCTTTTCCTCAGCTTTTTAGGATTGCTACGGATAGGCAGGCCATGGTGGTCATCTGTTATCATCTTGATAATGGGAGACTGGTGTGGGATGTTCGATTCAGGCGATTGCTACAGGACTGGGAAATTATGGAGACTATTCGTTTTTTGGAGTTGTTGTATCGTCAGAGGATTGTGACTGAGGATTCTGATTGTTGGACTTGGGCTGATAACTCTCAGGGGCGTTTCGAGGTTAGGTCCTTTTTCAAGTGTCTAACAGATGGCCCTAGGGAGTTCTTTCCTTGGAAGTCCGTTTGGCGCTCAAAGGCTCCTCTTAAGGTGGCCTTTTTTGCGTGGTCCTCTGTTCTGGGAAAGATTTTAACCCAGGATAATTTAAGGAGGAGAAATCAGGTGGTGGTTAATCATTGCTATATGTGCCTTCGCGATGAAGAAACAGTGGATCATCTTCTCTTACACTGCACCGTTGCTAGAGCCTGCTGGGATTTGATGTGTGGCTTGTTTGGGTTTCCTTGGGTTATGCCTTGTTCTGTGAGAGGGCTGATTGAGGCATGGAGTGGTTGCTTTGTGGGAGCCCACATTTGGGATGCTTGGAGGGCTACACCTTTGTGTGTGTGGTGGTGTTTGTGGCTTGAGCGGAATAGGAGATATTTGAAGGGCAGGAGATGTCGATTTCTAGGCTTAAATTCTCTATTCTCTCTACTCTTTTTTGTTGGGTTTCAGAGAGAGATTATTGCTCTTTAGAGAAGATTGTTGATTTTTTGGCCTCTTTGAAGGCTTAGGTCCTTTGTGGCCCTTTGTACTTTCTTGGGTTTCGCTCCCCTTTCGAGCGCTTTTTTATACAATTGTACTTATCAAAAAAAAAAAAAAAAAAAAAAATTGTCTGATGCCATGCATCAGACAATTTCTAAAATGCTCATGCATATCACGTGACTTGTATCCTCCTTTTCAATATAACATAAATTTGTTTTTGTCATCACTCCATATGCAACATTATCAAATATTAGCCGTTTTTCTTGCATATCACCCACTTGATCTGATGCCAGACGGGACATTAGAATTGCCTGCTATAAAATTGTCTAATTGCAAAAATATATCTATGTATTTTTACTCATGATTATCAGCTAGTTGCTCTTTCTTTTGGTGTTTGCAGTGGAAGCAGATCCGCCATTGTGACAAATACAACTGTGGAAATTGTAGTTCCCGAAAATGTTATTGGCTCGGTTTATGGGGAGAATGGTAGCAATTTGGCTCGTTTGAGACAGGTAGCTCATGCTTCTTTTTTGAAAAAATGTCTTCGTTTCATTGGGCTATACTGAGCATAACTAGTCATACAATATGTATGTGCTATATGATGGATGTTCATGGCTACTGAAAATTTCATGGTACTTCCAAATGTTTTTGTTTGCAATTTGCGACGCCTAGTACATACTGTTTCACCGAGGAGGAGAAAGCTATGAAATCTTGTTGTACATGCTATATTATGGTTGTTCATGGCCACTAATAACCCTTAAGAACCTGTGCAAGAGTCTTGAACTTTAAGCTGCACATCGAGTGGTATAGTAGACCACGTTATGTTAAAAAAAAGCCAAAAACAAAAAACTAATGTAATTAGTAGAGATGCACAAACAGGATCAAACACGCACAAGCACACAGATTTGTTCATGAGTTGCACCCATTTGCCCCTTGGGGACTCAAAAGTCTTAAACCTTCAATCTTCTATTTGGAAGGAGAATATACCACTTGGGATAAGTCACTGGTCTCTCATTTCAATGTTTAAAGTCAATAGTTGAGCTGTCTCTAAGTGTGTATATATATTTTCCTTTTCGTTTTTCTGTTTTCTTTTGACTGCTGCCATCTTTGAGTTTCCAAGTAATCTGATTTTAAGTTCACCTTCAATTGTACGTTTTGGTCTCTCTGGAACAGATTTCGGGAGCAAAGGTCACAGTGCATGAGCCTCATCCTGGAACAAGTGAAAGGATTGTCGTCATATCAGGAACCCCCGATGAAACCCAGGCAGCTCAGAGCCTCCTGCAAGCTTTCATCCTTACTGGACCATCATGACAAGATCATCCTTACTCTTGACAATCTCACCGAGGAGAAGACAGCTACAAATTCTCACCCGTTTTAATATATTTGTTCCATCCAACTTCTGTACACTAAATTTAGGAGTCTTTGAGCCCTCTGTTTATGCCAATCTTTTCGTTTCGCTCCAAAGCATATCAACATCAATCAATCACCAAAATGTTTTGTAGGAGGAGAAAACATTATTGTTGTTTGAATAGATTGAAAAAAAAAAAAAAAAAGGTTGCAGCAAACCTTATTATTGCAAATCCAGAAAACGAAAAGAAAGAAACTGTCATTACTGCAATTCATCACTTTTGCTCCAAATGTTTATCTGGCAATCACCACACTCTAGCTGTTCTAGTTTCTCAGAAAACCTTCATTCAATGCACGCACGATGAAGAAAACAATAGCATTATCGCGTAGTTGATCCATCTCATTGTGTGATTTAGGTTGGCACATTTTAATTATTAATTATGTCATGTTGTGGAAAAGTCCTGCAAAGCAACTATTTAAGCATTTTGTGACATGTTTATATTGTCATAATGCAAAAACTTTTATGTGACGAGGAGACTGGGTTCCAGTACTTCTGGGTGAAATAGGTTACCCATTACCAACTTCCGAAATTTCAACCATATACTAATTGATAAAAGTACAGTAAAATACTTTACCCAAATTTTTAAGTTTAGCAGAATAATACAAACATAAGATGCTGATAGAGCAGATGCACTCTTGCTCCTGTTTCACTTGTCTATGTCCTCAAGCTTATGGATAAAAGGGAAGCTATATAGTGCTTCTCAATCACACATCATACACAAATTTTTATATTACTTATCCAAGAACCATAATTGCTGGAAGCAAATGCACTCTTTTAATTGTGTCATAGCATCAAGTTGCTGCAGCTGCTGCTGGCGTCGGTTTGAGAATGATTTCAACATTATCATGAACACCTTGAAGCAATAGTTCACCGTCATAAGTCAGAACTTTACGTTTCTTTGCAGCCCTCAATGTACCAACCAATGCTTCAAATATGTTCGCACACTTGTCATCGTTAAAGAGCACACCAAATGTGACCTTCAAGACAGTAAACAACATTGTTATGGTAAGTAGAAAACATAATCTATTGAAAATTTTGACATTGAAAGAACAAAATGTGAGTTTCTATAACATGGCCTAAAAAAGAAAAAAGAGAAAAAAATAAGAGAAGAAAGAAAAAATATGGGATGGGTTTAAGTCATGAGTACAGAATGGGCCAGAAATGGAGATGGGAGACTTTGAGAAACTGTAACTTCTACAAGATGTCTTCATATTATAATAGAAATTTACCCTGCCTTTCAATAGACAACTAGAATAAAATCCAAGAGCTCTTATTTTCTATGCCCTCTTCTTCATTATTCCAGAAGAGGCTCTAAAGAACCTACACAATATTACCCAACAGCTTGGTGCTTCTCCGTTCACTTGGGTTTACCAAGGAAGTTAATTTGCAAACGATGGGACACACTAAAAGCGAGAGTCTCCAAATGCATTCCTATTTGGGCTTTCCATATCTCCCCGTTCCAAGTAAAACATGAGCTAATTTTGACATTGTCAAGAAAGAACCACCACATTACGACTTTGAGTCCTCCGCATCCTTATCCCACACCCCTATATAATCTCCCCTTTCACTCATCCACATCACAAAAATGATAGGGATCCATCATTTGATAGTTTCAATCTAGTTGGTGAAGTGTGTCAAACGTCATTAGGTCTCGATGAATTTACACCTCAGTCAGGAGCCTTAGAGGGAAGCAATAAAAGAATGATGCTTATACTTGAGGAGCATCCAATTAAATTAAAACGAGGAAGGAAATACTGATTTCCAACCACAAATCCATGTTAAGGATTCAGCGAATAATAATTTCTTGATCCAATCTTAACAAGAACAAATTGCATTTCCCTCTTATACGCTATAGAGATATGACACTACTACATGAGCAAAATCTCAAAGGAGGTACACAAAATATGTGCAGATATGAAGGTATGAACCAAGAAAGACAGTCATCTCTTACTGTAACTCCTTTAACAGGATGGAGTTTGTGTAATTTTTTCGACAGGAAACTGTTAGGGTGGTCCCCACATCTAATAGTTCAACACCATAACATTCATTGAGACCCCAGTGGCCATTTGGGGCTGGTCACCTCCACCATAGTTTCTTCAATCTCCTCTCTAATCTTAAATTACGCATTTCTTTAAAAAAGTCCCCAAACCTTCATCATCCAACAACTCCAATTGAGTTGCCCTCCCTTTTGAAAGAATACCCCTTCAACAAACATCAGTACGTACAGAATTAATTAATGAATTGTATTTGAAGGCAAACTCACATATCTATAACATCCGAACTTACACTGATCTCGCCACTCTCTTCCATTTCCGGCTACCCCAGCTTCGTCATTCAACTGATTCAGTGAGAATAGGGACAAAGCTAAAATCGCCTACAGCTTGGTGAACCCTAGAATCCTCTCTCATCAGCTCAACTGATTCAAAAACAGTTGCCTTGCTACAGTTGATGTGGACTTGAATCCCACAGTTTTACCAATCAAGCTTCATTAATTTACATCAATAACCTATTCAGTATTGCCCTCATCAATATTAATGGATTCATCTCAGCATTTGCCAAAGAGTAACCATGTAGTTTTTATAAAAAAAATCTCATCCATGGCTAGAAAACTCTCTCTCTACCATGTACAAGAAAAGTTTCACAAAACCTAACCCCCATGACCAGAGAGAACATCACCAGAGAGGACTTTTCTCTTATTATGGAAACTTCTAATTACAATGTCTGAAGTATGAATTAAGCATACAACTGGTTAATTTGATGAATCATAGATCCACTAGTTACTAACATATAATGACTTCTAACATTAAACATCTCGAATTCTATATATCATGAAGCTTATTATAATGTGCGTTGAATCAAGCACAAAGTAAAACACCACCCAAATAAAAAAATTATCTAAAGATCACCATAAAACAACAGAAATCTTCAGACCCCATTAAGAAAAGAGAAAATGATCAACTAAATATCACAGATCCGCCATTGATTTGGTATTTCAAATTCTAAACCATCCAATACGAATATATTTATACTTCTTAGTCTGAAAATACGATGAGTTTGTTCGCTTAGAACAAAAAGAACCCAAATTCCAAACTGCTGATTGTAAATAAATCGAATCGTGTAACGCGCGCGCGCACACACACACACACACATATATATACATACAAAGGTTTTGATGGATGAATGAATGTACCTTGTAAGAGCCATCGTCTTGGATCTTGCCAAGCCGTTTGATTTCTTCTTTGAGTCGCTCAACCTCTTCTTCTACGTTCAACATTTCAGATTTACCGACCTCACTCACCTGGGATTTTTTTTTCTAACAGAATTTCTGTAGGACGCTTTCCCGGAAAATGGAGGAAAATAAATACAAGGGGTGTATTTTACTTGCTAAATTTTTGGGTCTATTATCTCTTCTTCAACGTCTTATCTCAATTTTCTTTATTTTTGGTAACAAAATAATAAAAAAATAAAATAAAATTTTATTTATTATTTATCCCTCGACAATAAACAAGATTTGGTATTATTTTAGTTTTTTTTTTTTTTTTTTTTAATATAAAAAAAACTTGCGCCAAACCCATGACTTAAAAACGGCTTTGTTTTAGCATTCAAAGGTCACCACCCTCTCACAAGGAACGTGGCTCACCAATACACCATTCGAATTCCCTTTTGACACAAAAAGTGTTTTTTTTTTTTTTTTTTGACACCTTTCCCCACTAATAAAGTCAAAATGTGAGTGGGGCTATAAAATCATATAGAGGTGGGGTAAATGGTCCTAGTGTTCTACTTTTTTCGCCACATTTCCCCACTAATAATGAGCTTTAGGCTAACCCTTTAATTCATGAGGTGACTAAAACACGTGCATCTGTTTCGGCTCTACTCTTAATTGAGTCAAGTAGCACCGTTCTTTAAAAAATATAAATTTACAATTAACAATTTCTTTTTTGATTTAGTTCTAACTTCGATTACTGCTAAATCTGATTAATCAATATTAAAAAATAAATATTTGATATAATAAATGAATATTTCATTAAAAATCATAATATTTTCTTCCTTTTCTTCCTATTTTTGGGAACATAACAAAACCAACATATGATGCCTAAATTGTATCTTTTCAAATCCGTCCATTTCCTTTAAAAATCTATACCAAACATAATATTTTATTTCGCTTCATTACCTTTCTTTTATTTTCTTTTCTTTTTATTACCTTCCAACCAAAATGGGATAATGAAAGACAAGGAAGGCAAAAGAAAAAAAAACAAATGACATATTAAATACTTTTTCACAATTGCACTTCACTTTTTTTTTTTTTTTTTTAATAAAACAAATAACAAAAAAGTCCCTAAATTTATTAATGCTATCATCTCTTATTTTATGATACCATAATTACCCTTTTCACTACAAACTTTTAACTTTTTTACATTCTTTAATTTTTCTAGTATTTTCTCTCTTTCTTTTTTTCCTGACAAAAAATATAATTTATTCAACTGAAACAACATGCATCAGAAATAAAAATAAATTGTTACAAGGCTTAAACCGGCTAGAGAAGCAGCATTATACAAATTTTAATTTTCCATACTTCCTGAATATGTTATTGTGTCTAAAGCTCCCATTCATCAATATGAAGTTACGAACTCAAGGCCAGCTCTATTGTGTCCGCAATGTAGCGCACATGAGCAAAGAAATTGAAGAAAAAAGGTTTTCTGGATGTGGCTTCTAATTGTCCAAAAGGGGCTCATGGTGCATTTGAGTAGATCACACTCACTGGGGCGTGATTGTTGTCTCTACATTCGGCAGTTTTTTTTTTTTTTTTTTTTTTGTTAATTTTTTTCATATAATTGATTAAAATTAATTATGAATTTTTTACGAATTTCAGAGCTCAAAAGGGATATTAATGGCAATGAGAACAAGAAACAGAGGAATTGGAAGCAAAAGATTATTTGTTTGACAAACAAAAAAACAATGGTTTCAAATTTTAAAGGGTAGATGTGGTATTTGAGAACAAATAATCATTTATTTATAAAATCAATGTTAAAAATGTCATTCCTTTTAAAATTGGAGTGCAATTGCAATAAAATGGAATGGGAATATCGTCTCCCATTAAATAACTTAAATGTGTTTTTGGATAATTGTTATGAAAAAAAAAAAAAAAAAAAAAAAATTAAGTCCTTAATTCTAGCAAGTAAAGAAGGAAAATAGAAAACCTTTCATCTGTTTAGATTATAAAAAGAGAAAAGTAATGAGATGATTATTTAAATAATTCTATTTAGATAATGTTTGCTTTTATATTTAATGAACCCAAAAAATGACCAACACCATCCCAGCCATATGCAGACCAATATTGTGGTGTCGAGCTTCTGGATCATGTTAAATAGTTCTTGGATTCTTCAGTCGGTAAAACTTAAAAACGGTGACTATCCTCCTCTAATCATTCATTTCATCTAAATTGGTTATAATCAATGATTTTCATTGTTATTTTTAAATACTCCTATATGAATTGATATATAAAAATTGATAACTCATCCATTAGACCGTGGTTAATTAAAAAATAAAAATAAAAATAAATATAAAAATAAAAATAGTTTGTTTAGAAAAGCTCCATAAGTAGAATTGATTTGATCCGATTCGAGATCGGTTTGGATTAAGTTTTTCACGAATCAGATTAGTTTTAATTTTTATCAATTCATAGATATTGGACTTGTACTTAAATTTAATTCCTAATCATTGGAGTTCGATTTGTGGTCACCCCAACCCTCAACTTTATTTGTACAAAGTAATTGTCCGGTGTCATCCTACAAGACCCTAGACTATTCCTTCAACACGAGTAATGTTATTGAAATTTAAAAAATAAACCAATTAAATTACATCAGAAAAAAATGTGACTCAAATATATGTTGATTATATATTATTGGGTCGTCTGTATGTTTAAAGTGTGAACTAATACTCACTTTGTGTTTAAGAAATTAAAATTAACCTCATGGTTGGTATTCTTTGAACTCTTTCAATCTCTTCGGATTAGTCACTCACGCTATATCATCACTATTATCTCTACATTAATAAAGCTCCTTGTTTTTTCACCACTCTCCCTCTCTTAAAAATCTCGAGTCTTGAATGTTGACAAATTTAAACTCATGCCAAACTCGAATGGATATTGCTATTTTAGCTTATCATCCCAATGAACAGCCTTTGCAGCCGCGAGATGCACTTTGTGTGGGATGCTCAGAAAGTGCAACTCATCATCGCTGCAAAGCCTTGGAACGTTGGGATCAACCGGTCTGTCAAATCACTTTTATTATTATTATTATTTTACCACATATTAGACAAAGTGCCCCAGCCCCAACATAGAATTATAAATAACAAAATAATTCATTCAAATAATATAAACAAGTGATTATTTAGTGTGAAAATTGTGTTAATGATTCATATTTATTATTTAACAAAGTTAAAATTTCATAATTTAAAAAAAAATAAAATTGATCAAAATATTGACGTGAATATAAAAAAATACTATTTACTTTCACAAAGATACCACTTTTAGGCACAGATATCACTTTTTATGCATCAGGTACCACTTTTATTTTGAGTATAGAGGTACTACTTTTATTCACATAGGTACCACTTTTTGTGTACCAGGTGTCACTTTTTGTGCAACAAAATTTTTATTTTTTTGAAATTATGAAAGTTTTATTTTATCAGATAATAAATATGAGTTGTTAACACCATTCATACGTAGCAATCTGTATAACCAACAATATGCCACCAACCAATACAATTCATTCCATTCATCTACTCTAGCTAGCATGTTCGCATCAAAATCCAACATAATTAGATCACATCACGTACACCACATAGTTCGTTCACCAAACTAATCAAATCGTGGGGGTGGCAAAACAGACCGTCCTCCTAAAATCTTCACCATGGTTGTCATCCATGATGTATGATAAAGAATGATGATCGACGGCAAAAAAGCGGCGGTGGCGAGATTTAACGCGGCCGCTGCGACTGCTGCACCGCGACTCCGACTCCATACGGAAGAGGTCAATCGAAACGTGATAGTTAGGAGGTATGTCATCATCATAGGGACACCCATCATAACCAGAGCGAACAAGACAGAAGTGTTGGTTACCAAAGTAGGCCACATACCCTTGGTGTCCATATCTCACATGGATGCCCGGGTTCGGAAGGTTCTCGACCGGAGCATCTTCGAAGAAGTTGAAACTCTGATCGTAGCGATCACGTTCGACACGGAAATTAGAAAAAATTGGAAACTGGGAGGGACCTATTTCCACGAGCCCGTAAAACTGACCAAGAACAGCTGGACCTAATTGAGAGGGTAAATCAGAACAAGTCCCTTCGTCCCAACTCCTTGTACTGATATTGAAGGAGAACCCTTCACCACTAGTTGTGGATAGAAGAATGGTATGGTCAATCACAACATATGCAACTATATTATAATCTTCTGTTAATTGAACATTACTTTGAACAGGAGCATGAGGAAGCTCAAACCATTGCTCTAACTCCGGGTCAAATAGTTCGAAATTATGAGACTGTAGGCTAATACCATGGACATAAAATTTGCCCTCAATGGGTCCCATCACAAAAGGTTTTACCTTGGGTTTAAGCATGGAAGGTCCAGGCATAACAGAGTTGGTGACTGCGTCGTATACATAGACACCATTGCAAGCTTGAATTCCGGTAGTTTGTTCGGGTCGGGTTAACATTTCACCACCAACCATATATATTTTGGATCCAACTGAGAAAAATCCCATAGAGAATGGGTATGATTTTCTTTTCAATTGTTTTACAGGGCGTGGCATTGAAGGTGGTGAAGAAGCATAACGAGAGCTAGACAATCTGCCAAAACATTGGAAGCTGATAGAATAAATTTCGTAAACATACGGAGCATCGAAATCTCTGTTGTAGCAAATCATGAAAACAGCTCCGCCTCCGGCTGTTGTGTAGTTTGGTTTTGTTGCAGCCGCGGCCTCCGAGTCTGAGAAGTTTGGGGTGTACTCCATAAATAACTGGTTTTGTTTAGCATAAAACTCTCTTTCCAGTTCAAACTCTTCCTGGCGGTGCCTGCGCTTCATTGAAATCTTTTTCTTTTCAAGATGTCTAATCAGCTTCTCCTTCTTTGCATCAAATTCTTCGAAATCTTTATCCTGAAATCTTGCAATTTCCTTCATCGTTTGCTTTTGGGAAAATAAACAAATCAAATCACCAAACAACTCGATCTGCCAACTTAATTTTCTCTGATATGTCTATATATATATAGTTAGGATATAATGAATTAGGAGTGAATCTTTATAAAAGCACTAGAAGCGAGTTTCTTGTCCATCAAGAATTAGAAGTGAGTTTCTTGTCCATCAAGAATTAGGAGTTATGGTGTTATATATATAGTGTGTTGAATTAATATATACACACACACAGATGTCTTTGGAAAGTTTTTTCATGAGCCAGCGAATATACTAGGATCACCTCCTTATGCAAAATCGCACCATCACGTTTCAAACCTAGGTCACCGACCTCCTTGTAATTGTCAACCTTGTATATATAAAAATGTTTAACATTAAAAAATAAAAAATAAATAAATATGAAGCCGTGAACATCTAAACCGTTGGCAAACTGAACATAAAAGATTCTTTAAAATTATGTATTGCAAGATGAAAATTGGTGGCCGTGCGTGGTGTTTTTCGGCTATTTTTGGTGGCGCTGGGATGTTTTGAGTGTGACCGCTAGAAATGGGGCTGATGCAGCCATCTCTGGCGGTGACTACGATAAACTGATAAAATTATTACCAGTAATCGAAAGATTCTAATACCATGTTGAATACAAAACAAAGTTTTATACTCTCTCTTTTATATTCATTAAATACAAACCATATTTAAATGACTTATAAAAGCTTTAAATAATAATCACATTAAAGTTTCAATATTGCTCTTTGACTATACATTTTTAAAAAAAATAAAACCTGACATTCTTATCAACAACTGTTACAAATTAACAAACAACTATTATTTTATGATAGAGCACATATTCGTCAAAATTAATAAGCTTATATTTTATGAGTAAGCACATAGAAAAACTTTTGAATGTTGGGTTGAGTACAAAAATTTTAGGGTGGAATTGGGCCCAAAATCCATGTTATTTAGATGGTTGGGCCTATGTGCATTTGTTGGGCCTATCTTGTTGGGATTGTCCTAGATTTGATGACCCAATTCCGGCTTCAAAAAATAAAACAATGCATGGCAACAATTTGTAATGACCAGTCCCCCTGTGGCCTGTATATGCTTGAATAATGTGTGTATATATATACATCAGTAAATAAACGAGCATGAACATTGTATGTATACATACATACAATGGTAATTTACATAACTACTGAGTGGACGTTCTCTGTGTAATGTTATAGATATATGCATTTCGTAATCTTACAATGGACGGAAACTGGAGATATAAACCTATGAAAGATACCATCGCTCAGTTGAGCTCTACAGTTTACATGAACTTTTGCAAATTTCAGACCTAGCTAGTATACTTTTTTCAAACTCAAATTTAAAAAAAAAAAAAAAAAAAAAACTTTTCTCTCGTGCTAATTCTCACCCTCTCTCCTCAAATGAACTGGAGCAGGGTTGGCTAACCAGGGTTGTTTTGAGCGGAAAATTAAGAGTTGGATGGCTTTTGAATTTGGCCATGTTTGGTATAGGGAAAAAATAAATAAATAAATGAGAAGATATATATTAACTATTTATCGTGTTTGGTTGATTAATAAAGAAAAATAAAAAAAATGATAGTAATCATATTTGAAATATATATATATATATATATATATATATATATATATTAATTTACTGCCATACCCCTTTTTCATAAATTTTATCTTCTATAAAAATAAGGGTAAAATTGATATTAAAAAAGTTTCATTAAAAATCGCTAGTCTTTCATTCCCTTTCCTTCTATTTCCTCCCATTTTTGAGAGTTTAACAAAACCAACACATGATGCCTAAATTGTATCTTTCCAAAGCCATTTTCTTTATCTTTCTTTAAAAATCTATACCAAACATAATATCTTATTTCAATCCAACACCTTTCTTTCTTTTATTTTTCCTTCATTGCCTTCCAACCAAACTGGGACAATGAATGACAAGGAACGAAAAAGAAAGAAAAACAAAGGACATATTAAATAAGGAGGCGATAATCTCACTCTATTTTTTCACAATTGCACTTCACTTCTTTTTTTTTTTCTTTTAAGGAAAATGATAAAAAAATTTCCCTGAATTCATTAATGCATCATCTCTTATTTTATAATACCATAATTATCCTTTTCACTACAAGCTTTTAACTTTTTTACGTTCTTTAATTTTTCTAATATTTTCTCTCTTTCTTTTTTTCCTGACAAAAAAGATAATTTATCCAACTGAAGCAACATACATTAGAAATAAAAATAATTTGTTACAAGGCTTAAACGGGTTAGAGAAGCAGAATAATATAAATTTTAATTTTCCATACTTCTTGAATATGTTATTGTGTGTGTCTTAAGCTCTCATTCAACAATATGAAGTAACAAACTCAAGGCCAGCTCTATTGTGTCCGCAATGTAGCACAAGAGACCGACATGAGCAAAGAAATTGAAGAAAAAAGGGTTTCTGGATGTGGTTTCTAATTGTCCAAAAGGGACTCATGGTGCATTTGAGTGGATCACGCTCACTGGGGCGTGACTTTTGTCTCTGCATTCGGCAGTTTTATTATATAATTATTTTCATATACTTGATTAAAATTAATTAGTAACTTTTTACCAATTTCAGAACTCAAAAGGGATATTAATGGCAATGAGAACAAGAAACAGAGGAACTGAAAGGCAAAAGATTATTTGTTTGACAAACAAAAAACAGTGGTTTCAAAATTTAAAGGGTAGATGTGGCACTTGAGAACAAATAATTAATTATTCATAAAGTTAAGGTTAAAAATGTAATTTTCTTTTAAATTGGAGTGAAATTGCAATAAAATGGAGTGGGAATATCGCGTCCTATTAAATAACTTAAATGTGTTTTGGAATAATTGTTATGAAAAAGAAATAAGTCCTTAATATTAGTAAGTAAATAAGTAAATAGAGCTCTAGGGTATAGCGGGGTTGGTACGAATTTGGAGGTAAGTCGTTGAGGTCTCGTTTTTAAATCATACTCTTGACTTAAATAGTGCATGTGTTATGGGCCGATACATGTACTTTAAAAAAAAAAAAAAAAAAATTCTTTCATCTGTTTGGATTATAATAAAGAGAAAAGTAATGAGATGATTATTTTATGAATAATTCTATTTAGATATGTTTGCTTTTATATTTGATGAACCCAACCAAAGGGACCAACACCATCCCAGCCATATGCAGACCAATATTGTGGTGTCGAGCTTCTGGATCATGTAATAGTTCTTGGATTCTCAAGTGAGTAAAACTTTGAAGACGTGACTATCCTCCTCTAATCATTCATTTAATCTAAATTGGTTATAATGACTGATTTTCATTGTTTTTTTTTAAATACTCCTTTATGAATTGATATATGATAAATTGATAATTCATTCATTAGACTGTGGTTAATTAAAAATAGTTTGTTTAGAAGAGTTCAGTCCGAAGAGTTAATGTGATCCAATTCAAGATTGATTTAGATTAAAGTCTTCTACGAATCAGATTGGTTTTAATTTTTACCAATTCATAGGGATCGAATTGATTTAGGTTTAATTCCTAGATTGATGGAGTATGATTTGTGGTCACTCCAAATCTCCAACCCTCAATTTTATTTGTATGAAGTAATTGTCTTGTGTCATCCTACAAGGCCCTAAACTGTTCCTTCAACACGATTAATGCTATTAAAATTAAAATTTAAACCAACTAAATTACATCGAAAAAAAATATGGGCCTCAAATATATGTTGATTATATATTATTGGGGTCATATGTTTGTTTAAAGTGTGCACTAATACTCACTTTGTGTTTAAAAAAAATAAAATTAGCCTCGTGGTTAGTATTCTTTGTACTCTTTCAATCTCCTCGGATTAATCACTCACGCTAAATAACATATACCATCACTATTATCTTTACATTAATAATGCTCCTTGTTTTTTCACCTCTCTATCTCTCTTTTGAAAATTTCGTGTCTTGAATGTCTGTAAATTTAAACTCATGCCATGCCAAACCCAAATGGATATATTTTAGCTTATCATCCCAATGCCCAGCTTTTGCAGCCGCGAGATGCACTTTGTGTGGAATGCACTGAAAGTTCATCATCGCTGCAAAGCCTTGGAGGTATATGTATATATAAACACAATTTTTAAGTATATATATGAACATAAATTTCAATAAGGCACGACGATGGTAAACATTAACTTATTGAAACTTGAAGATTATTTAGGCAATTCCAAATGTTAGAAGCAAGTCAAGGATAGGTGATAGATAGATATATCATGAAAGCCAAGACTATGAAGAACAGTCAATAGAAGTGTTTTACCAAAGTCCCACATCGGTTAAGAGAGAAAAGTGGAGAGAGAGAGTTGGTTATAAAAGGAGAGGCTGGTGAATGAACAAGTCATACCTTTCTCGGCCTTTTGGCTAAGATCAAGTGTAGTATCTGTTCTTATCAGTTTAATATCTGATACGTGGGCCATTGGCCCACACAGTATTAAATTAATTTTTTTTAGGGGGGAGAGGCCGCTACAGTAGCTTGCTGCTGGGCCTCTCGTGGGTCGCCTTGGTGTTGCACTATAGCCTAGTCCTGGTCCACCCCACAAAATCTTAGTTTAAAATTACATGTTCATGGCCTTTGGGCCTAGAGAAGGCGGGAATTTTTATTTTACTCTTAATTGGGTCAAGTGGCACCAAACTAAAAAAGAAATTGTTTTGACTAGAATTCTGAGCTACATCAAAACATGAAGCACAGTAGAACGTTTGCCCTCAAATGGAGAGACCATTTTTTATACCATTTTTTATAAATTTTGTCTTTTATAAAAATAAGAGCCAAATTAGTATTAACGAAATTTCATTAAAAATCAGTTTTTCTTTTCATTTCCTCCCATTTTTTGGAGGGTAACAAAACCAACACATGATGCCTAAATTGTATCTTTCTGAATCCATCCATTTCTTTTATTTTCCTGTAAAAATTTATGCCAAACATAATATTTTATTTCACTCCATTACCTTTCTTTTCTTTTCTTTTCCAACCAAACTGGGAGAATGACAATGAATGACAAGGAAGGCAAAAGAAAGAAAAATAAATGACATATTATATACTTTTTCACAATTACACTTTACTTTTCTTTTTCTTTTAAAGAAAATAACAAAAAAAATCATAAATTCGTTAATGCATCATCTCTTATTTTATGATACCATAATAACCCTTTTCAAAACAAACTTTTAACTTTTTTACATTCTTTTGTTTTTCTAGTAGTTTCTCTCTTTCTGTTTTTTTTTATTGACAAAAAAGATAATTTATTCAACTGAAACAACACACATCAAAAATAAAAATAAATTGTTACGAGGGTTAGAGAAGCAGCAGAATACAAAATTTAATTTTCCATACTTGTAGAATATGTTATTGTGTCTAAATCTCCCATTCAACGATATGAAGTAACAAACACATGGCCAGCTCTATTGTGTCCGCAATGTAGCACAACAGACAAACATGAGCAAAGAAATCGAAGAAAAAAGGTTTTCTGGATGTGGCTTCTAATTGTCCAAAAGGGGCTCATGGTGCATATGAGTGGATCACACCCCCTGTGGCGTGATTGTTGTCTCTACATTCTGCAGTTTTTTTTTTTTTTTTTTAATTATTTTCATATAATTGATTAAAATTAATTAAAAACTTTTTACCAATTTCAGAGCTCAAAAGGGATTAATGGCAATGAGAACAAGAAATAGATGAATCGAAAGGCAAAAGATTATTTGTTTGACAAACAAAAACAATGGTTTCAAATTTTAAAGGGTATATGTGGTATTTGAGAATACAATTGCAACAAAGTAAATCATTTATTTATAAAATCAAGGTTAGAAATGTCATTTCTGTTAAAATTAGAGTACAATTGCAATAAAATGGACTAGGAATTTCGTCTGTAATTAAATAACTTAAATGTGTTTTTGAATAATTGTTATGAAAAAGAAATAAGTCCTTAGTTTTAAGCAAGTAAATAAGTAAACAGAGCCCCAGGAGTATAGCGGCGTTGACAGGGATTCGGAGGTAAGTCCTTGAGGTCTCACTTTTTTAAACCGTACTTTTGACTTAAATGATACATGTATCATGAGGCCGATACACGTACTTAAAAAAAAAAAAAAAAAAAAAAAAAAAAAAAAAAAGGAGTTAGTTGACAGTCAGCAATTATTACAACTCCAGCTCCCCCGACATCATTTGCGCTTGATCCGTCAAAGATTAGAGTCCAAGGAGTTAGTTGAATAGCACATAACTCCATTACATCATAGATTCCCAGATCAACATCCAAACATGGATGGTCAGCTAGAAAATCAGCAAGTGCTTGGCCCTTTACGGCCCTTTGAGGCACATATTGGAAACTGAATTCCATAAAGGCCAAGGACCACTTGCCTATTCGTCCAGAAATTATTAGACGAGAAAGCATATACTTAATTAAGTCAGAGGCACAAATCACATAAACTAAAACAGGTAGCATATATATTCTCAATTTGTGAGCAGCAAAATACAAAGCAAGACACATTTTTTCGATTGGCGTATATCGACGCTCAACCGGTGTCAAACTACGACTAAGGTAATACACTGTCTGTTCTTTCCCTACTTCATTATCTTGGGCTAACAAACTTTCGATTGACTCATCCGCAGCTGAAATATATAACTTCAGCGGCTGTTTCTTCCTAGGTGGCATGAGGACAGGAGGGTTAGCAAGATATTCCTTGATTGATTCAAACACATGTTGGTGATGCTTTTCCCATCGAAAGTCTTCCTCTGATTTGAGCTTTAAGAGCAGAGAAAAGGTATGGATCTTCCCAGCACGGTTTGAAATAAACCTTCCCAAGTATGTGATTTGACCAATCAGTCTTTGTAACTCCTTTTTGTTGCCAGGTGGTTGAGCTTCGATGATCGCCCTAGCTTTATTCTTGTCGACCTCAATACCCCTCCGATGCACCAAGAACCCTAGAAAGTTCCCTGCTGTCACTCCAAAGGCGCATTTAAGTGGGTTCATCTTCAAACCATGGGTTCTCATTCTCTCAAATGATCTCTTCAAGTCTGCCAGATGCTTCGCCTTTGTCGCTAATTTCACCACCACGTCGTCAATGTATACTTCCATAAATTTCCCAATCATGTCATGGAAGATTGCATTCATAGCTCGTTGATAAGTGGCTCCGGTATTCTTCAAACCAAAGGGCATCACCACCCATTCGAAAGTGCCTATGGCTCCCGGACATCTAAATGCCGTTTGTTAACATCATCCTCTGATATGAATATCTGGTTGTATCCTGAGTGACCGTCCATGAATGACAGAATCTCATTCTTAGCGGCCGCATCAATCAATTGATCGGCCATGGGCATTGGATACTCATCTTTTGGAGTAGCTGAATTCAAATTCCTGAAGTCTACGCACACCCTAATCTTTCCATTCTTCTTAACCACGGGAACGATATTGGATAGCCAATCGCAATACCTTGTGGTCCGGATGAATCCTGCTTTGAGCAACTTCTCAATTTCCTCCTTCACTTTCATAGTCACTTCTGTTGACATACGTCTAGGCGCTTGCTTGAACGGTCTAAAACCTTCTTTTATAGGTAGTCGATGCTCGACTAGCTGCCTTGGTAATCCCGGCATCTCAGTGTAATTCCAAGCAAAACAATCCTTATATTCTCTAAGCAACAAGATCAGTTCAGCTTTAAAGTCAGGTTCTAGAAGATCACTTATGTAGGTTGGTCTAGGCTCTTCTTCTGCCCCCAAATTGATCTCCAACAAGGGATCCTGAACATCGGCCTTCAGATCCTCTAGCTTGGCTGGAGCTACATCTTGCTCTTCTAACTGAATAACATCTCGACAATCCCCTGACTCATCTTCTTCTATGATTTCGGCCATATTGGCCGACATATCACTCCACAACATTGCCCGTCTTTCGGCGAGATATGCTCTCAGCCGTGCCATGCTAGCTTTAAATGCTAGCATTTTCTCCTTCTCCTTTTGGGCTTGGTCCATTAACAACCTGTTGTTCATCAACTTCAACTATCAGCCTTGGCTCGCAGATAACACTTGGCCTCGATAGTTCCTTGAATAAATCGGATAAGTCCCCGTCTGTCAGATTTTTCCTCATCGTCGCCTTCTCAGGCTTGCCATACTTGTCACAACCAATGAGCCTCACAGGACCCATTTCCTCCTCATATAAAACTGCATCAGCCACATGGACCCGAGCTTCGAAAGGCTTATTGTCTCCCCATATGACTTGGATTTCATCCCCATCCCAGAAAATCATAAACTGGTGGAGGGTAGAAGGGATGCAGAAATGTGGGTGTAACCAATCACGTCCAATCAAAGCGTTGTAAGTCGCCCCTGCGTCGACCACGAAGAATGCAGTCATGGTCTTACATTTTCCAACTGTTATTTCCAAGGTGACCACCCCTCTGGTCCTGGCTCTGCCCCCCGTGAAATTACTGACTGTCAAGTCAGTGGGAATCAAGTCATCTTCCGTTTTTTGCAGCAACCTCATGGTGTTCATCGGAAGGATATTAACCGCAGATCCATTATCTATCAGTGCCCGAGACACTGGTATCCCTTCTAAGAACACCCTGATGTAGAGTGGTTTCAAATACTGAGACATTGCCGCAGAAGGCTTTTCAAAAATCACCCTAGCCGCCTGATCTCTCCCAATAGTCATTGACTCATCATCTCGTGGTTTAGTTCTTATCACAATGATTTTCTGTTTCTTATCTTCGGTGATTGACTCGGATGGGTTCTCAATAATCTCCGGAACTTCCTAGCCTTCATCATCGATCACCTCGACGTCTCCCTCCATGGCGGAGGGTTGATCAGGCTTAGCCTCAAAAATATGAGGCAAGGTAAGAACCATATTGCAATTCACAATTCCTTCAAATGAACCAAATTTAATACCTTTTAAACCATCATCCTGGTCATCCAGGTCGAGTTCATCATCACCAAATCCTGCTTCATCTTCAGCTTCTTTCATAGAGGAAGACGCACATTTCTCTTTAGTGCCTCCATTTCCGTCTGCACTATCTTCTTTGGATTTTCCTTTCGGATCACTTTATGAATCTTGCTTGATAGGTTCTCTCCTAAGCAAAGTCACCTTCTGTGGTTGTGGAGTTGAATATTTCTCTTCCATTCTTTTTAACTCAGTTTTCATCCGCTGCTACCGTCTTACTTGAGTACGAGTCATGAATGCTGGCGGGATATCCCTGACCTTAGAGAACTTTGGATGACTCACCCTTGACCATCGACCATCGTCAGTGACTGGTGGCTTGACCATCCTTTGCCTATGGTTTGGGTGGTTAACTGATGTCTCAGCCTGGTGAGCCACATTTGAGTTATGCTCCCTAGGCTTCCAGACAGCATGAGTAAGATTCCTTGACCAACTATTGGAGTTCACTTCTCGCCTTCGCTTGTGATGCTCATTGGTATTAGACCTTCTATCAGGCCATGTTAATCGACTTGTCACATGCACCCTAGACGAGGGTGACCTAGGTCTGTTTTCATGACGTGAACTTCCAGGACGTCCCCGAGTGTCGCTATGGAACCTCTCTCGGTCCCTTCCAATGTCTGTCTTGCATTTAGG